TTGCTATTTTTAAAAACTCCTTGCGCATTCAGAACGCCTCGAAAAACATTACAGGACCTCTGACATTCGGGGCACTGTCCCTGTCCCTGTACAGCGATTGTGCTTCTAGCCATCTCGGACGCCTTGTCGGCATGGATTCTGCTAGGCGCTGTGGACCCCTGGCCGACACATGGCCCCCATCGTTTCAGGGGTTGCGACCAATGGAAAAGGTCTTCAGCAAAAACCACGAGTTAAGGTCAGAAGCATGTGTCCCTGCGCTTTCCCCCTGCTTGCCTGCGCCCCTGGCCTGGACAGCATTCTGCATCCATTACACTGACCTGCTAGGCAAGGCAGCAGCATGTAGGTAGCAGTTTGCTCCAGCTGATTGATCTCCTCCTTGCTGTGAGCTCCGATCGACGGCGATGCTGCGGTGCGATAGAAACAATGAACAACTCGTGTGATTTCAAACAAACAGACTTGTTCGCCTCTTCCTTGCGCAGATTCACATGTCGGATGCGGGGTTGTCAATTTTGGTAAATTATTGGGGCGGGGGGGGGATGACTGAACCGAAGGCCCGACAACCTTCCCCGTCCCAATTTTTTTCTCATTGGATAAAGACCAGTTCGTTTTTATGAAAGGCAAGCTATGTTTTTAACTTTGTGCAGTTTATGAAAGTCCGTGATTTGAGCAGCATAGTAGTCAAGCAGGGATGAATACACGGAGTGGACACTGGACGCACGCGCCTCTTTTGATCGGTAAGTAAAGGCCACCTTAGGGCGCCGAAGACACTTTTTTATGGCGGTCATGGGAGCATTTTGGTCGTGGGGGACGGGGGTAATGGATGGTACAGTTAGCTATAAAGGACTTTCGGCTTTCCCGTACACAAAACCTTTTCACTTAGACCTCACAAACCATTGCGTGTCTTATGGCAGTAGGTGTGTAAAGATTGCTGCATCATTTGCCCGCTCAGCTCAAACTATCTGCTTGGGACAACTGATTTGATTGCTGGTGAGAGCAGCCACGACTTATTGTCCGGAGGGGAGGGAGGGTTCTAGTGTTGGCAGGAGCATTGCTATATACGAGAAACATACGTATCTGTGAGGAGGCAGACATCCGGCTACATTAACGGACCTAGTTACCGGATTTGGGGGCCAAGCCATCAGGCCAAATCAGGCCACACACCATCAGGCCACTCAAATTTTCCTTTTTCTTTTCAACTGGGTCAAAGTGCCAACCGCCTTCCCCCGCAAAAGTGTTTATTTATTGCAGTTAAGATTCGGTGACATGCGAGTGATGCATGAACAATTTGCGTCTCAATTTGGCGCCGAACCACATTTTTCTACTCAACTTTCTTCCATAGCATCACGAGTGACGTTTACCAATATTGGTGCAAAGTTAAGGCTAAAAGCAAACTGCTTCTTAAGATACCTAAAAATGCGCTGTAAAAGCACCGATGAGGATCGGTGTAATGTAATTGTGGCGCAGAAAATGCATGTGCTTTTAATAGGACTTCACATGCCTAGTTGTAATCAACACGCGCTCGGGTCGGTGCAGCGTAGCCGCTCTAGCGTTGGTAGGTGCACAGCTACATGTGACAACAGTATGTTTCTACGGGGAGCTCAACATAAAAACTCGACCACGTTTTGGCGCCGCTACGCCGCGTCAAACCTTGCATAGCCGTAGGCAATTGAATAATGGGTCTTGAGGTATGGAAAGTTCGATTACATGGTAAGGTCGTCGTAAGGTAAGTGGTAAGTTCGCGGACATATGGTCGGCATATATAGCATATATATAGGCGTTTGTATAATAGGTCTGGGTGTACTTCGCACACCGATCTGGAGTTTGACGTTATTTGGTCCGAAAGTCGACAGGTATTTTGACCTTGTCTATTTCAAGATTTGACACAAGTGAATTCATACACTAGTCTTTCCATCCTGTGAAATTAGTGGTTCTGGTTCTCTTGCTTTTTATTCCAAGGGTCAAATTGATCCCCTTCCCTACCGAGCGCGTCGCAATCAAACGACCGCCTGTGCGCGTGTTAAAATGTTGTGCGTCTGAGGTGTGCGTAGATGCTTATGAAATGGATGGAAGTTGTGTTTTATAAGGCATTTTAATTTTATGTTGGTTAGCACTCCCTCAGAATTACAAAGTAGTAACAGATTAGCCTACAAAACAAGTTTTAATTAAATGCTTGCGATCGTGCATTATCAAGTGGCAGCATTTTCTGCCGCGTGCAGCGATGCACCTCTCCTTTGCAGTCTGAAAGTTTCACTTAAACCTAAGTTGTGAATTCCCGGAAATTGTTAAAGAAGACAGCTCGACATTTTCAAATATAATGACCACTTTACTGATACTTAAATTTTCCTGCATTTTTTGCCACAAATGTGTAAGGCAAGTGTAGGCAAGAGATGTATAAATACAATAACTACGTTATTATTTATGGTAGCATAAGTTTGTCCAAGCTTAACCGTTCATGACTGTAATTATTCATGACTACATTGTATTATGAACTTTTAGTTCATAACCTATCCAGACCACTTTGGAGATCATTCGATACAGGTCACAGCCCTATTCTTCTGAAGTCCGAAAATTCTCTAGTTTCTTAGATACACGGCCCGCGCAGGTGTTCAGCGTATTTTGTGCAGGCTAGTTCAAGGCCATTCAGGCATGCATGACGCAATAGCAACGTCACTCAAATCCTGCCACCACGGGTGTCGACTTGTATTCTCTTGGGTGGCCCCTGTTCCCCCCCCCCCCCCCCGTCTCCGTCAAATGTTCAACCTGCCAACCCCAAACGGTGTGTTTGGCCTCCAACCTTATGTATATTTGGTGTAAGTAGAACATTTAAAATGAAGGCTCAAAATGATATCGATATCAACGAAAGTTCTTAAGAGATGTTTAACAGATAAACAAAGACAATGAAAACTACGATGTCCTGTCCAGTTAAGTACAGCTTATTGAGCCAGTCAGTTTTAGAATTCCGCGTTTATTCCGAATTTACTTCATTATTTTCTATTTTTGCTGCATGCCGCACGTTTTTTTTTGTTTGTAGCAAACTCATGTCTTGTCGATTCTGGTCTAGTTTTCTTACCAGACATGATTCAGCCATGTGTCAACTTCTACAGCGTGCAATAATTTACGTTATTCTGTCTCGACGTCTTTTCCAAGGTTATTGATACGACAAAGGCTAGATCTTGTCAGTAAATCGTCTATTAATTAAAACAAACCGGTCGCTTTTAAGAACACCAAAAGGTGGCGAATCTACTAGCCATCTACGTTCGGAAGCGCCCTTGACATGTTTCAGCCTCCAATTCGACCCAAATTTTCATTGAGACAGTTTCAAAAGTCTGACATTGACACTCGCCGACAAAACCGATAGCGGTAATGGGCCAACAACGACACCACCAAAACAACACAAACCGTGTGGAACATACTTGACTCGAGAGCTGCTTTCCAGCCTGCAGGCGGTCCCACGGTCGTGGAGCTTCCTTAGCAGCTCGGAAAATGACGCACATCAACTAACGCTCTGTATCCCGAAGCTGTGCACCTGCACTAGCATCTAAGGTCACATGATAATGACCCTAGTCTGCTACAGCGGCCCTATGCCGAAAACCAAAAGCTGGCTCCGACCGTCATCGCCAAAGACTGATTGTCCTGTCCCGCTTCACATAACCTGCCGAGACAAAGCGATAAAACATAGCGGGACAGAGTGCGGCTGCCTGTTCATGTTCTCGCTATGCTTTTGAGAGGCAGGTAAATCAAATCCAGTGAGAAAATTGTTGTAGTGTCCTTTGAGCTATATTTTGCGAATCCACACCGCTGTGGTGGAGCTTTAATGATCGTGGCACGTGCCGGATACACTACCACCTTTCCTCACCTTCCAGCCCACAACACGGCTCTAAAGCAGAAAGCGTCTGGATCGAGAAACTGGTGCATCAAAATCGCTGTAAAGCAAATGGCAGTTTACACCAGCCACGCAGGGTCACCACAGTTTCATAGATCTCAACCATATTGAAGACGAATTGTCAGCCGAGGCGCGTTCTCGCATTGCATATTGCGCTCAAATAAGATACCCAGTTAAAACAATGAGATCGACAAGGCTTGACAAAGATGCTATGCCTGATTACAATCGCGTTATGTTTCTAGTGCGTACATGAGAAGACTGCATCTTTGGAAAATAACACCACAGCATGGACACGCAAGCCATGATTAAAGTTGAAATCCATCAAAGCAAATTCATGGAGGTAGTATCCACGCACGCCAGTGGCGAGATTGAAATGGCTATCTTCATTTGTTCCAAACACTTGCTAACGTTTGTAATCTTGGTGAGAGGCCGTTGTTTCAAGTCTGTGGTCGGCTTTTTTGGAGTGTTTTTGCTTTCTTCTAATCCACTTTGGGAGACTCACAGCAATAGGAGCGTGGGAAGTCCTGGATTTAATACGTAGTATGCACGCGATGGGCACATCAAACGCGCAAGACAGAAGACTATTATTGTGTTCGAAAAACTGCCAGCGACTGACTTAATGTGCAGAAGGTACCCGTCTTGTATTGGCATGCTGTCATGACCATGCGCCGATTGGCTCTAGGGTGCACGGGTGAGGAAGACCGTAGCGTACGGCGGGTCTGTCGAGTCTGAGGGGCAAGAGTATGCCGTTGTAGATGCACAAGATGTGGCTAGATTGCATCCGTAAATAATGTATCTGCATTGCTCTAAGGCTCCTTCTGAGCACCTGATGCGATAAGTTCATCACGCCCGCCGTGTGGTCCAAGCGATCCTGGCTAGAAATAAAATGAACCACTTTGAAAGGCCGAATTCAAAAGGTCATTGTTCTTGGAAAATGAAGACAAATACACTCTGACCGCGCCGTTATAACCAAATCAAAGCAACTTTCACGCACTTAATGCCACGAGTTATAACTTCGTCTGATTCCATTGAAAATTTCTGTAGCAAAACTAGCTCCATTAGCTCGTTTTCTTCTTTATTAGGAACGAAAGTGTCTGAGGTCTTGGTGGTAGTTTACGGGTCATTCTAGACCGGGGTCACCTCATGTCAAATCTTCAGAATCATATTGTGTCTTAAAAGGCATTTTAATGCGCACCATTATCATAATTTTTTCCTAAAGACTACGCGTGCTAGATTATCCAATCTCAAGGTCATGTGAGGTTATGGAGACATCCCAGTTTATTTCATATTGCCCATTAGAAGAGAGTGGTTGCTTTCTCTCACTGGCGACAGCTTTATTTTGCTGACACATAGCAATAGACGTTGAGCGCAGATCCTCTTTACCCTGTTGATCAGCCTTGCAGGGTCACCGGCGTAAAATGCAGTATATAATGTTAGGGCAAACTATCTGTTCCTAGGGGTCTACCAGCCAGTCTTTGAATGTTTGCACTATCGCATCGCCGTAGTATCGACGAACGGCTTCGCACCGATTCCTGCGTCACGGAAGGAGGCGAGCCTGACCGGGCTGCGAAGAAGGATAGTAAAATAGATAATAAATGTATAATAATAAAACATAATAAATGAGGGTAAAAACACCAGACTGCAACGAATAATACAATTTGACAATAAAGTGTAGTATTGTCCTTTATTTCCTTATTACCCTTATCTTACCCGTGATCAGATCATTATCTGATCACGGGTAAAATAATGCCCGGTCCTCAGATTAATCGGATGGCCTTTGAAAGAACATGGTGACAATAATTGACATAAATGGACCTGAATTGGTGCTTGTGTAAATTAAAAAGATAAAGTAAAAACACGATTTGAGTTTGTTTGACGTCCAGGTAAGAGATCAAAGACGGTGTTAGAGGACTTAAGATTAGAAAGCATTCATGGTCATATTACGTACATATTTTACCCTCGGCTACATATTTCTTTGATTGTTACAGCAATCAGTGTATGATGCATAAAGCGAAGTATTGTTACATACTAGACATTACACACCTACCTGTTGCCGACGCCATCTGCTAAGTCTTGATTCACTGGACTTTACCACACAGAGGTGTTAATGACCGAAACCTGCACGGACTTCAGAGGCTTGTGAATTCGACGCTGTGGCCTGGAAGGTATGCAAGTCAGCTGATGTGAATGATCCCTGCTACTGACACTGGGCAGTTTCAATTACAACTGATTCAAACAGTCTTTGGTTGTTTGGGGCAAGCCTTAGGATGTTCGAGAAGATCTAAAACGAATACGGGAGTGGCCAAGTATCTTCTGCGAATGCCCGCAATGCCACGTAGACAAACAACAATGTTCGACCTCAGTTGCTACGACCTGAAATATCAACGGTAAGAGATGCCTCAGAAGGACTTAACTAAAAGTTACACCTGCTTACTGGTGCGCATGGCAATGAGCTTCCAGTCAGATGAGCATTTTCATGTACTGACGTCTTGCATCGTTTCGGGGATAAGCACACTTTTGTTGCTTTCAGAAGAGCTTGTTTGGATGTACCTCAACATAGGCTTATGCTCCTTTCATAAATCGAGGTTCCTAAACATGCACACTTCTGTTGTTTTTTTCAGAAAAGCGTTCTTCAATGTGTACGCATGTAGTCTGATAATCGTTTCATATATCAAAGTTGTTAAATAAAGCAACACAAAGATCAGTTTGAAAATTTGGTTTAACAAATTAACTGAGGTTTTAGATTCAGCAGAAATCGAATAGGGTAATCGAGTAAACTAGCCATTGCAATAATCTTTCAAACACGTGACTTACAACGTACATGGCTTTCCCTCAATTTAGCATGCCACCACAGCATTTCACACACATTTTAAACAGGGATTACTGCAAGCAAAGCCGCAACCAAACGAGTCCCGAAAAGTGAGAAAATCGATACGTAGACCGCCCGCAAGTCTTCAAGTTCGTTAGATCAGTAGCATAGTTGGAAATGTAATTTGTGTCCCTCAGAAAAGAACTAAGCATGTGGGTGACATTCTAAACTAATTTCATGCTTATTACTAGTAGGAGCAAGGCAGAGCTCACTATCGATTTGCTACCATCGGACAAAAAAAAATTGATGCTAGAAAACGACAGACATTGTTGATGAAAAGATGGATATGGAGCTCAGAACTGAGCACCTCAGAGCATTGAATGAAGCACCATCGGCCCAAAATGTTGCGCCTCCTGCCAAACTCATCTTGGCGTGAGCTACGGAGCAAGTCTGGCAAGCTTGAGAAATTTGGAGGAAGTGCGCTTTAGGAAGTGAGAGGGTGATGCCTCCGATGCAACATCTTTGGAAGGACAAGGCCAAAATCCAAACAAAAATTAAGTTAAAACCCACGGTAGCATCAATACACATATGACATCCGGCGTGATCCATCATATGCAGACAATTTTCCAGGGGGAAAAATATAAAAGGGTCAGCCGAGGCAGCCAAATGCGGTAAGCTCGAGATACACATCTTAAACGAACGTAGACAAAATTGGCAATGGTCCAATATGAATGTGCGCACATCTTCTTTTTCAAGACGTTTTGACGCATCTCTCGAGATTAGCATCCAAGAGGTTTCTCAAGTTACCAGCATTGAGACTCCAATATAACTAGGATGTTAATTGTGCTTATTTCCATGTCGGTCGTGCTATCAAACTGCTTTTGCTCTTAATGATGTGAGTTCTTTTCTCACATTTCGCTGTGCGCGTCCCATGTGCTGGGTAAACATGGATCATATTGGCGTATGAACGCATCAAGACACGCCAGCTTGTCTGTTAAACAATGCTCAACCTTTCTAGCTTATAAATGTGTGCAAATCCTCCATTTAGGCCATGCTCATTCACCCTAACTTATGGTACTGGTTGCTGTTCACTGCGACCCAAAAGGGTATAACGAGATGCTGGTTGCAAAGGGATATGCTGAGAATACCATTGGCTTGACATTACCGGTATTTAGTGCAAACGATCTTGTTGAACCCACGCCTTGAAAGTGAGGTGTGTCTGAGGCAAACCCGTAATATTTTTAAGGATACCTCTCCAGCATGTAATGCAATGGCGCTCAAATTTTCAGTAGCCTATGGGCATCCATTGCGCGTGTTTTAACACCAAAAATGCGCCCCGAGCTCATCAAGCTTTCGAGCAGAGGCGGTTTTTGGAGAACACTGCTCGGCGATGTACGGCCGGGGCGCGCGCTTTGCGGCGACCGACGTTACCCCGAGACGCGCGAGGTGGGCCGACACCGTTCCATTAACGGAGCCATGAATCATAAATGTATGCTCAAAGCACATAAAAATACACACTGCCGTACTCAGAATTCGGGCAGTAAACGTGTCTGATTCAGTTTCGTTTCGCCAAAAAGCATAGCCTCGTAGATGTGATATTGTAAAGCTGAAAAAGTGCGATTTTCTGGAAAATTCGACCTTTGAACAGCCATAATGGAGTCAGTTAATGACCTAACAGTATACAAACTAGTGTCCATCGTGAGACCTCGTTGAGACCAATCTACATAGGTTTTTTGCTAAGCTCTATCCTAAACACCAAGCGGGTCGCATCCCCCCAACCCCACCCCCTGATAGGGGGGTGATGAGAAATGAAAATGTTCGCGTTACGAAAAACTGCAGTGAGGACGAGGGTTAAGGCGAAAATTGTGCTGCGGACGCAAAGGAAAAAGTGATGAGTGAGTCGCAATAGAACATACCTGAAGTTGGAACTTTGAAATTATTCACATTTGCAGGCGCACGGCTCGCCTGATGTTGAAAGCGGAAAGCTGCGATGAACAAATTTTGTGTGAACCCAAAAAGTTGCAAGTGACTTATGGCATGGTGCTTACGAGGAGCACAATGTTCGTAAAAGCCTGCTTGCATATGAATGACATTCGCTTCCAGCTTTCCAACTGCTTATAAGCCATATAATAGAGACACTTCTTGTTAACTCTACGACGGCTATGCGAACACAGACACAACGGCACAAACATACATTGCTCTCAGAAAGCTCACGCACTTAATTTTGAATTATCGCAACAGACTCGGGTTTGTTCTTGGTGTTCAGTCGTAAGCTGCTCTAATAAACCAAGCTTCGCTCAGGAACTAAGCCGTGACATAACGGCGGAAGATGATTGTGGGGCTTGTTACGGTACAATTGCCTTCCATCATTCTTTATGGCTGGATTAATGTGTCTACATTACGTAATATATTAGTTCTGTCCAGGAAACGAACCGAATGATCATTGAAGCTGGTGGCACAGACAAATGCTTGTCCGGCCCGTCCTGTCGAGCCGACATGGCCGTCGCGACTTCTGAGGCTCAGAGCTTTGACCACAGCTTCATGCAGCTGTCAGCAGCAGGAAACACGATTATTGAACAATCACACGGTATATGGTTCAAAGTGTTGCGCACATGCTGATGATTCTTCTGTAATATTGCAATTTTAACAAGCCCTAGGTTCTCCTAATTGGCATGGAAAGCCCAAAGTTCGCTTATTGCAGAAGATGCTGCACAACGCGCACTGACATCAGGTGCAAATATTGAACGACCGATGTACCGGCCACATGAAGCGAACACTCTCTCACGAACAGGAGAGCGAGCAATATAATAGGTCAAGCGTGAGTGATGCGTGCAGTCGGTCACGGGCTCCGGACGTTAACTGTGGATTCACTTGGTTGGCCTTTTTTTTGGGGGGGGGAGGTTTGGTTGATGAAAGATCCTGGCAACCAGATCAGACCGACATGTAAGAAGATGCGCGGTGTCGACGAGCGTGTCGTCCTCAAATCACAGACGATATCAACACCGGCCGGCCGGCGCGCGCCAGCCGTCGGCCGGGGAGCCAGTGGCACGCCCTTCGAGGGCAGCCTTAAGCACAACAGGCCTCGGTCTTAACCGAGGCAGACTGCACAGTCACACAGGCGTTTGGGGTAGGTTACTACAGCCTACGTTAAGCCAAAATATTTGGGTTATTCGCAGGATGTGAATCAATCTAAATTCGCTTCGTGGAGTGAGACTGCATCGGTCTTGGTTTGGCCGGTCCAGATGCGTATCATGCAGCGCATTTCCACGTGAGGTCACTTGCGAGTTAGCACGCAAACGCTACATGAGCGAATCTCTACCTGCCAGATTCCCTTTAATGCCGGACTTCCCAGCGCATTGATCAGAGGCTCACTTGCGTGGTCCACTGAGTTGGTCAGACTCCTAAGTTACCGTTGCGGCACCAACTACATGGTGGCCATTGACAACTCTCATATCTATGACCACCTCGCTTTTCTGACGTCACACGAGGGCGTCACTGGGGCAGACGGTGAATGTGTGATAGGGCCGGGTAAGAAACAACCATCACGGATGTTAGCAGAAAACAAAGCCGAAGAAGAAGGCATTTCTCCATTTCAGCGGTTGAAGGAGCTGGGTTTGGCCATGCTGTCCATTTGGATCCGGCCTCGAAAGGCTGTGTCGCCTCGGCGAGTACTTCATTTCATCCGTGAAAAAACAAGACCAGACTTTGCTGGTAGTATTGGTACTGCCTTGTTGCCGGAGCATGCGAGAACATACGCATGCAAAGGCTATTTTAAGCAAAGATATACACTTATTTCAACCTTGATGATGGTTTACAGACACGTCGTCTATTACTTACGCATAAAGTAGTCACTAGTGGATATTTTCACGCCATTTACGTATGTCTTTCTGATCGTTAGCATATTTACGCATAGTCGCGCAGCAATTCTAATGCGCAGATGCGCAGCACGTTTATGGTATGGTTATACCGATACCGATGAGGTTATCTCTACCGGCCTCACACGAGGTCGGGGTCAAAATTTTCAGAGACATTGCACCGTTAAGAATACACGGTCGGCACAAACTACCGTGAAAATTCAAAAATCCGCTCACTGCCATGTGTCTGACCAAATTATTTTTCTCGGCGGATCCGATTATTTTGAGCGGGCGCGCCTCGCGCCATCTTCACTCGCCTTGGCTCGTCTGATAGATTCAGGGTTGCATCCTCGCCACAGGTGGCTTCCAGCCTGTTTCCACCAGTGAGGTCGCGTGCCGCCGGCTCTTTCATTCTAGACGCTGCGGTGACACCATGCCGAGGAGATGCTGCTGACACCCAGCATCAACACGCCTGGCCAATGCTACACCAGTTGGTGTGACCCTCAGTGAGGCCGAGGCGGCAGTGGAGCCTCCGTCCCCTGGTGATACGGTGGCACCACATGGCGTGGCTCGATCGCCCGGGTCGAGTTACCGTGATCGGGCGATGTCATTACGGCCGTTATTACATTGACTGATTGGAGGGCGTCGATGAGGTGATAATATTCATGAGGACGGTGACGCAGCTCGTGTCTGCGAGCCCCGGTCGGCGGCGGCGGCCGGCGGAGCGTGGTGCGTGCCCGTTGGCCGCCTCAGACCGGGCCGCGGGCCACAGACGCGGCGGCTGGAGCGGGTGTGGCGACGGCGAGGTGTCGGGTTTCCGAGCTCAGCCGTGGGCGACATCCGATGGTGTGTGAAGGCCGCCCTGGTCTCCGCGGCATCACATCTGCAGTTGTCGTCATATCAGCCCGCGACAGTACGTTATGCGCGTTCGTGGAAGGTAGTGAAATAAAGCGCCACCTTGGACGAGAGACAACGTGCTTTGTTATTGCATCGGCCTCGCAGGATTCCAGAGCCTTGGTTAGCAAAGTAATTAAGGAGAAATTGATTGTCCTGCTCAGTAGTATTGTGTGCCGTG